GTTATACAACTATTTAAAGAATGTGAGACCTCAATAAATGGAGTGACACAGTTTTCACTGCACTAGAACTTTTTTTTTCTTTTTTTTTTTTTATCCTCACCGGAGGACATTTTTCCATTTTTTGTTCAGGTAGAGTGGGAGGGAGAGAGAGGAACAGAGAGAGAGAGAGAAACTTCGATGTGAAGGGACACATCGAGTGGCTGCCACCCGCACAACCGACCAGGGCCGGGGACAAACTGCAACCGAGGTACGCGCCCTTAGCGGGAACCGAACCCGGGTCTCTCAGGACCGCAGGCCGACGCTCTAACCGCTGAGCCAAACCGGCCAAGGCTGCACTAGGACTTTTTGATGAACTTGTAAACATCCAAAGAGATCTCATACAACTTCTAGGCAAAGCGTTCCAGCTTCATAAAAACTCATCTAAAACAATGTACAGCAGTTTTAAAAGTTCACAGGATCTATAACCAATTTATCAGGTGTCCCATATTATTCGAAAGTTTGGATATAATTTAATCTGATTACTTGTTTTTTAAAAATCTCTTTTTCCCTTGGTTTTTATTGGACAGATCCTTCTGCCATACACTAAAGAATTTTTAAGGTCAGATATGAAATACAAATTTTTACTTCCATATATAAACTTTTCATCAACCTTTAAGAAATAAATTTTCTATCAACTTTTAGGAGTGAATTCTGCTGATAAAAAAAGATAAATACATAAAACATATAATCAAGATTGCTTACACTGTCTTTGTGCTATCTAGACCTCTCCACCCTCTTTATCATCATTTGAATTATACTCATACATGGTCATAAATGCTGTTTGAAGGGAGGCCAAGTGTCAGACAAAATGAAATTCAAAATAGATCAATTTGGCCATTTGTTAGCAGTTCTAGACAAATGAAATGAAAGAAAGAAACATTATAACAAAAATTAGCAGGAAGAGTAGAAAAGTATATGGAAATTTGTTTTAGCTAAAATACTTTTGCTCTTTGCCCTGGCCAGTTTGGCTCAGTGGTTAGAGCGTCGGCCTGTGGTCCAGAGAGACCCGGGTTCGGTTCCCGCTAAGGGCATGTTTTGTGGTTGCAGTTTGTCCCCTGCCCTGGTTGGATTGTGTGGGTGGCAGCCACTCGATGTGTCCCTTTCATGTCGATGTTTCTCTCTCTCTCTCTCTTACTCTCTCTCCCTCCTACTCTATCTGAACAAAAAATGGAAAAATGTCCTTGGATAAAAATATATATATATATTTGCTCTTCACAGTATAGATTAGACATATTTAGTCATTTCTTGTGCCAGGTACTGCTGGCTTCCTAATGAACAGTCCCTCTGCCCCCTCTTCATTAAGAAGAGTCTAGTGGTTTTTCAGATATTAGGTGATTCAAGAGATGAAAGACTAGTCTTGATTAGTCTGTGCTAATGACGGTAATTCCATCTATCTTGCCAGTAGCTGATTTAGAAATAATTTGTGATAGACAAGCAACTGTAAAAGGATGTCTGCTCAGGGACCTTTTAGGGGAGCTTTCTTCCCCTTTAAAAAAAGGCCACGAGAAAGAGCATTCCTCATTTTTGCCTCTGGATGCCTGGACCTGCAGCAGCTGCCTTGTAACAAAGTGAAGCCAGTTTAAGAACAGCCGACACTTGGAGGATGGAAAGACAGAAGGATGGAATGAACTTCGATTCTTGATGACCTCGTTAAGCCAATTTAGAAATTATCTAAACCAGAAATGGTCCTATCTGCAGGATACTTATTAAATGAGAAAATTATTATTTTCTGTTAGGAGTGAAGTCATTTTGAGTTTGATTTTCTGTTACTCGCAGTAAAAAAGAAAATTCAAGCTGATTCTGTGCTAAGAACAGGACTGGCTAAATGAGCATTCGTTACCGAAAATACTTATAATCATTCCCTTGCAAAATCTAAATGTAAATGGTTTATGGTTTTAAAAGGAAGGTGTGAAGAATCTCAAGTAGCTTCACTAATATAAGGGGATGAAGTTACGTGCTATTTGGAGATCTGGATAGAAAAATAATTTCTCTTTTGCGCATGGAAAGTGCAGCCTTTTACTCCTCTGTGTTTTTTATATTTGTGGCCTTATTATGTCTATCTTTCTCCATTGTCTCTAAAAAGGTATTTAACAGTCCTCTTTAGCTCAGCCCCTGGCAAAGTCAACCTTGGTGTTGCTTCAGGAAATCAATATGATTTAGACGTGTTTTTTCCTCTCAAAGAAAACAGGATTTTGAAAATGCCTTTCCTTGGTGTGGTCCTAAATCTCGAATAAGGCCTGACAGGGAGTGTGACAGAACTCACAAATGTTTTTCAAATTAATGAAAAAAATGTGATTCCAAAGCTGAGCTTTGCATTCTGGTGGAGTCTAAATTAAGTAATGTGTACAAACAGAAACTCAAACACTTCAAAGCACGGTTTATAAAAACCGACAGCACGATATATCAATCTCAGAGTTCAGGGATTGCCAAAACTAATGATCATTTTCTTCCTCCTGATTTATGACAGCTACGCCGGGACCTAGGTCTCTGTGTAAAGCAAACGCAGAACTTATTAATAATGTAAGCAGCTCTGGGGCTCCTTCTCCATGGCAGCAATGCTCTTGTCTAAAACCAGAACTGTTTCCTTTCTACTTTAATGGATTCAATTTGTTTAACTCGCCTTCTGCAGTCCTCAGTCCAGCCCCCCCGGCATACGGACGCTCCGTGCACATGTGATGGTGGTGACCAGGACTGCACAGAAGATGCCCCAGTGTCCACAGGAACATGATCAAGCACTCTAAGCTATCTAACTCTAATGATAAAATTATACAATAACAGAAGGAGAGCCATGCCTTTTCATACTAGTGCACTGTTTTAAGAAAACCCCACATATGAAAAAGGTAAAGCGATGGAGGAGTACAGATGGGTGGTTACAAAACAGTCCTGGATGTAAAGCACAGCATCGGACATACAGTCAATACTACTGTCATAGCTATGCATGGTGCCAGGTGGTGCTGGAAATACTCGGGGACCACTCTGTAAAGTATATATTGTCTAGCCACTGTGCCGCACACCTGAAACTAATAGAAAATAATACTGAATGTCAACTGTAGTTGGAAAAAAAAGTGTACATAATAAAAGAACACCCCAAATAAAAGGGAACGATAGAAATTAATATTCATTATCTAATATGCGCTGAAAATTTACATAACATCTCTGTATACTATTTGATTTCATTTTAGCCATAACCCTATGGACTAGGTTTTGGGATTCCCACTTCCCTGAATCTAAGATGCCAGTAGTTGTATGGTGAGCCAACATTCTATATACCAGTAAGAAAAAATCCAGCCAATGAAAGTATGACACACCATTTGTAAGCTGTACCTTGATACTAAAGATGTCGAAATGTAAAAACAGGCATCTCAAAAGTAATATAATAGGACATTGATCAGAAAATTCACCGATGTCACAAAGCCAGTTAGTAGCTGTGGCAAAACACGAAAGCTTCCCACCAAGATTCCAGCTCCTCTCCCAGAACGGGTGTTCCTCCTGGGAAATGGCTGTCTGACCAGAGGCTACCCTGTCTGCCTTCCTGAATTCTGATCAACACACTGAACACAGCTGATGTAGTCGCTTCTGGGCCAAAGAGGTAAGAAGCCTGAGTGCTGCCTCCCTCTCTCATCCTCTCGGCCGTCATGCTGACGCCCACACTGATGTGAGAAACCACCTGCTGAGTGCGGCAAAGCCTCTGTGTCAGCGGGGAACAAAGCCCTGACTGTACCCCAAACCGCTGCACCGAACAGGGCTGCCACGTTTGACTTGACACGAGCAGTAAACAAACTTGTGTTTTGTAAGCCCCTGTCATTCGGGGCTAGTCTGGGACATCATCTAAAATGACTCCAATAACACAGTGGCAGAATTGGATCCGAATGCCGGGTTTCAAAGTCAGGCTCATCCGGTGACACGAAGCAAATAAAGCCTCCAAAACAAACACACAGAACCAACAGAAAACAGGGACGACTGCGTCATCTTAAGCAGGTTTCATCAGCTGGTTTGAAGGAATGGGCAGACATAAATAGATTTAAGAATAATATATTTCAGAGAGAAAGTCCAGACAGGGACAATTAAAGTAATATGTGTGATAGCCCAGATGAGAGAGAAAACAAATGAAAAATGAGGGAGTGATTTTCAAAGTGGGTAAAGGAGAGACTAACATGTATACTCTCTTTTCTGTCTTGTTTTGGGCTAACACGGTTTGGGTTCAGGTAAAGACGGTCCAGGTAGGTGTTATCACCCTAGGCTCCTCAGTGGCCAAATATCTTGACATAAAGAGGCCGGTTACCTGGCAGACCTTGAAGCAAAGGAACGGGAGGAAGGAGCAGCGTGGCTGGCAATGGATGACAGGGAAGGATGTGAGGTGACCGAAAATGGGGAAGGTCAAGAACAGAAGGTCCAGATTCAAGACAAGAGTTTGCTCCTTGGCTCCACTATTTCTTATACTGAGGTCCGTGATTTGGGGCAATTTAACCTAAGGGTCAACTCTTTCATCTATGATGGTATGATAATACAATGCCCTTCATAGGTTGTTATAGGAATTAAATGAGAAAATACACGTAAAAGGCCATACATGAAAGAGCACACATTGAACGCTGGTCTTGTCACACTGGCTGTCATTATTAACCATTGACTTCTTTTCCCATCTAAGTGCAAACAGCCAAGTATGCTTTTAATACAAATCTCTTCTACAGACAGAAAGTACAATTAATTCCTTGGAAGAAAGCCTGCCTTTAGCTGTGAAACCAACTGAGGTTAAGAGGCTGTGGATGTCTCTATTTCAAATTAAAAATAAACAATTTGTTAACATGCCTTGAGGGGATGATGGGTAGAGAAAATATGAAGGTATGTATGGCGTACGGTATTTCAAACAGCAGTTTCACTTTACTGCTTACATAAAATAGCGCTTTGCCATTTCACAATATTATAAGGAATAAAAAGAAAGGAAAATAGCATAAAACACTTACCCTTTGTTTTTCATTGGAACCCTTTTTATTGGTCTCTTTTCTACTTTCATCTTCATACACTAGAACAAAGTCGATTCTTCGCTGGCCGTCATTGAAATAGAGTGAGTCCGGTTTCCCATTAAATTCTTCCTGTGTAGAATGGAAAAGCAAACTTTAATATAAATTTATTTATTTTCTAGCTTTAATGGGTACATTGATATATTTATAGAGAAAGAGAAATACATCCATTAATAGTTACTTGACAAAGGTCATGGTCACCATGATTTTCACAAGCACTGCTTATTCTTGGTGAAAGCCCGCCCTTGAATTGGCAGTTTGGCATTATTCTGGCATTATTCTACAAGTGCATGGGGAAATATCAGTACTACATATGTAAGACACTCATCCCAGAATTATTTCCACCTCAAACAGCAAAACGAGTATCGTAATTGGAAATGAACACAGTAACCAGAGATGCTTATCTGAAGGGCTGAAGTTTGTTTAACAAGAAAAATCAAAGACAAGTACTGTTGATGAAAATCTCCTCCTTAGTATGTCTTATTCTCTAACTCCCGTCATTTTTCCTGACCTCCCTTGCCCTCACCACTTTATAGAAGGTATCATTTTATAACCTTAAACAAATATCAGAAGATGCTTCAATATACACAAAAGCTACCGTGGCCTTTGGTTATTTGTTCCCAAATCCACAAAAGATAACCTCTCACTCCTAGGGAAAAACAAAACTAAACCAAAAACCAGCAACAACAACAAGATAATTGAGCGTTTAATTTAGATCTCAAAAGCCTTGTAAAAACCAAAGAAATAATGGCAAAACACAAACCTAATACAAGTTAAAACAATCTCTATTACATATGATTTAAATAGAATTGTTTTCAAAGTCCTGAGCCTGTGCTCTCACACAGCTTATCAGGATGCTTACATTAATTTTGTTGTTTAAGAATCAGACTACTTTTTAACTAAGTAATATTTTTTTAATGTTTCAGTTTGTTTTAAATCCTCACAGAATATTTTTCTCTTTATCTTCAGATAGAGTGGGAAGAAGAGAGAGGGAGAGAAAGGGAGAGAGAGAAACACTGATGTGAGAGGGACACATTGACTGGTTTCCTCCCTCATGACCCTGATCAGGGGCGGAGACGAACCGCACCCGAGGTACGTGCCTTTGACCCCACGATTCATTGGTCTGAGGGTCGACGCTTTACGGCTGAGCCACACTGGCCAGGACTGTTTCAGTTTTTTAAATTAAAACCCCCTGGGGAGACTGCATTTTGCAGTCTGGTAGAACCACTTAATCATTAAATGTGATTAATTCTCCTTTGCATTCAGCATCAGTTAGTACAAAAATCACCAAATTTTATCACCACGTCCTCCTTTTCTTCACACTTTGGAGATGTATATTTCGCTGAACATAGTCAACCTGATCCTTGTGATTCCTCTCCTCTTTTCCACCAGGGAGCCTGTGAGCTTATCAGTACTTGAAGCTCCTCCCACTGAGCAGCTATTTCAGCCACAGATCAAAGCACCTTCATCTCAGCCGCATTTAACCAGCGATTCTAAGCACAAACAGTGTGATTGTACCCTGAGACCTTCCCTAGCCAGGGCACTGCAGGGCCTGGAGAACAGACACATCGATGTCTTAGGTCACTATCCAATTCTTGTATTTGCAATTTGGTATTTAAAACCAATACACTTCCTTTCAGAATATTTAAAGCCATATAAAAACGCCAAGCCCTGTCTTTTTTGTTTCAGCCACAGAGTCCTCGAGGCCCCTTCCATTTCTCTTCCTTTCAATGAAGATGTTACCATTGGTGACGACCAGGGCTGCTGCTGGAGGAAAATTTTCTGTAGAGGGGAAAAGATAATGACTAGTTTCTAGAGTGGCAAACAGGAGGTGAGGTGGGTGGAATACAGTCAGGAAGACCTGATCACCGCTGCGGACGTCTGTGAAGTGTACTTGTCCTCTGTCGCCCACACTGTGCTGCCTTTGGTGGCCTCCAGCAGGAGTGCAATGAAGCTGTTCTGAAGATGAGGCCTGGAATGAGAACCACCTTTGCACATGACTCCGGGCGCTCTTCCCTGCATGGCCACTGGCTGGCTGCACGGGTTGGCAGCCAGTTCATCTGGCACACGGACAGGTCTCTCTCTGTGACAGAAGGCCGCGGCCGTTTGTTGGGAGGAAAACCCCTATGGACTTGGCAACGATCATCAGTGAGAAACAACTAGGTCAAACTCTGGCCTGGTTGTCTGAGGATGCGGGAAAGGGTGCCAGTTTCCTACCGCTGGGAAATCCAGGTTTCCCATCTCTCGGCAGGAGATATTCTACTAGACAACTGGGAAGGAGAGAGAAACTAAATGCTGGGCTGAAAAGAATATGTTAAAAAAAAAACAAAAAAAACACCACGAGAACCGGCCTAAATAAAGAAGACTGATTTATGAACAAAAGTGTGCTATTAAAAAAAAGCTGGATTTTTCAGTGAAAAGTCCTACTATAGGACTAACTTACCCATCTGGACAGAAATGACAAAAAACTAAAAAAAAATAATTTCTTTCCTAAGTTTTTGCTTTATACGAAATGAAATTTTAATAATTTCTCAGGGTAAATACAGAGAGTCTTCTTTAAATGACTGATCATTCAGAGATACAGTATTCAAGTCCTGGTCTCTATGCCTTCTCTTGGAGTGTACTCAACATGTAATCTTTAGTCTTTTCTACCAAGTCAAATGGCACCAAGATGAAATACAAAAAACCCTGAAACCCAACTTTTCCTGTGCAGCAGCTTAAATTGAAAAAATACTTGAAGAGAAGGCTTACAATTTATCAGGAAAAGTCATTTTAGAGGTCAGAGCTTATGTATGGCTACTGACTTTCCATCTAGAAAACACATCAACTCTTATACTCAACAGGTAACTTATTAATTATCACCTGAGAGTCTTAGACAAATGGTCTCAATGCCAAGGAAGCCAACAGCCATTGTTAATACTCTAGCTGTTGCCTTGGCCGGTTTGGCTCAGCGGCTGAAGCGTCGGCCTGCAGTCCAGAGAGACCCGGGTTCAGTTCCCGCTAAGGGCACGTACCTTGGTTGCAGTTTGTCCCCGGCCCTGGTTGGGTCTTGTGGGTGGCAGCCACTCAATGTGTCCCTTTCACATCGATGTTTCTCTCTCTCTCTCTCTCTCTCTCTCTCTCTCTCTCTCTCTCTCTCTCCTTCTCACTCTATCTGAACAAAAAAATGGAAAAATGTCCTCGGGTAAGGAAAAAAAAATACTCTAGCTGTTAATACTTCTTCCTTCCTGGAAAAAACATCAAGCACATTTCTGATTACAATTTTGAGTCTAGAAGACATTCCATCTGTTCACAACCATTGTCCCGTCCGGTCCCAGGATGCTACATTCCACCAATCTAGCATTCGTTTACCCTTCATAGTGCCCTGACCTAACACTGCACTAGAGGTTAAAGGCTGCAGTGGTTAAAGGCCGACCTATGTTCATGTCATTATATTTAAATAAAGCAGAACAATACTACCAACCATTGCTGTTGGCAGTGACATTTCACACGTGAGACGAAGAGGAGACATGCGTGGTCTGGGCAAGGGGAGACCCAAGAAACGGAGCTGGGCTAAGGAGTGTGGAGGGGGATGCGCAGGGAGGTCCCGTGTGATTTCCCCAAGTGATACTTTCCAGGCCTCCTCGCTCTCAGCTGGCTTCTTCCTCCCTTTATTTGTGCAGCTACTTCAACAGAAGAGTTGAAAAGGGCAGGACCCTCCTCAACCAAATCAGGATTACAAAAATGCAAGCAGTAAAATCACTCTGCCCAGTGTTTTCAAGCTAGAGTTGTGAGTTTCAGAACATGAAAAAAATATGACTTTTTGTTGTTGCTATTTGTAAAACTGAGGATCCTTATCATTCTGACTAAGTTGAGCTTTAAATCCCAGTTCTATAAATAATATCTCACCCCTTCCCTCTCTCCCTCTTTCTCTCTTTCTCCTTTTAAAATTTGCAAATAATATTTTATTTTTTTTCTTTTAACTTGCATTTTTATTTGATTACTAATAGATCTGAACTTTTAAAAATTTATTAGAATTTTAAAGCTCCTTTTCTGTGAAATTTTTTTCTTTATTGTTGAAAGCATTACAGATGTTCTCCTTTTCCGCTCATTGACACCCTCCTCCTCCTCGCTGTCCCCCCTCAACTAAAAATGGCATCTTGATCTAGGTATGTTTTAGTTCCTGAGCCCTTAAGGTGGGTGGAATGACCTCCTGGCTAGTCTCTCATAAAATGAGACAGACGGACACTGGAACAGACCTCAGAACTGTTCTCAAGACATTTAGAAATTACTCATCACCTTTACCTCATCTCCAACAAATCAGCTCCCAACACCGCCCCAACCCCTAACCCAGCAGGTCTTGTGATTTTGCCCTGTATGAGCTGTAACCTACACACCATCGGGTCTGGGCTTTCGAGAGTAGCTTCCCGTTCCCCTGGGTGGTGCCATTCATAAAAACAGAGGCAGTATTTCCCCACGGCAGCTCTCGTGCCGGTGCAGGAACTCTTCCCGTTCTGGAGCTCTGGCGGGAAGTGTGTGCTGGAGCGGTCGAGACCTCCACACCGTAGGACAAGTTGCTGAGAAAGAATGTCCTGGAGCAGTGACTTTCAACCTTTTTCATTTCATGGCACACATAAACTAGTTACTAAAATTCTGCGGCACACCAAAAATTATTATGTTATTTTGCCAATCTGACAAAAAAAATAGGTATAACTTTTTTCTTTTTAAATTCTCACCCGAGGATATTTTTCCATCTATTTTCAGAGTTGAGAGGGGAGGAGGAGGGAGGGAGGGTGGGGGAGGGGGGGAGAGAAACATCAATGTGAGAGAGAGAAATCGACTGGTTGCCTCCCGCACAACTCGGATCAGGGCCGGGGACCGAACTGCAACCGAGGTATGTGCCCTTGACGGGAATTGAACCCTCAACTCTTGGGTCCATGCGCCGACACTCTAAACACTGAGCCAAATTGACCAGGGGAGTATAATTTTGATTCATTCACACCGGATGGCTATTGGCTGTTGTCATTTTTTTATTTGACAATCTAAGAGAAAAGAGGTCAGTGCCCTGACCAAATAGTAAGGTAGTGCATGTT